GTTTTTAAAGATTTTTTTAATTAAATACCTATTCCGTTTTACATATAAGATATTTGGACAAGGCCATTAAAAGGCCCTTGTAAAATACTAAATATAAGATTTGGTCTAGTTCTATTAAAATAACTATATATTTACTTTCCAAATTCAATTATATCTGAATACTTCGGTAGCGGGAGTGCTCAACCGAACATAGGTTTCTAAGACTATTAGCATTGATCAGTTATATCCTCCGTTCAGCCAACCAGATTTACCAGTCTGATGAAGGCTAGTCGGTAATTCTTGATAAGTGGAAAGTTATTGGTTAATGCAACAACTATGGACATCAAGAGTGTTTTTCTTTTCCCTTTTATTTATTTTTCTTCTAAAGATAGGATTTTATGAATCTCTCGAATTCGCCCCAACGATACCATAGTTTCTAATAGAGCGACAACGAAACACTAAATGAAATTTCATCGGCGAAAACAGTACTGAGAGGATTATATATAGGCAATGTCTCAGCCTCACAATCCCTCAGAGTATTGCTGTTTTCACGAGGCGTACCTAACTTTACTAAAAGACTCATTCCGGTTATTTACTTTTAAGTTTTATTATACTTAGCCTTAACCTAAGCGTTTATTTACTCTAAGGCATTAATCTAAAACCAGAAAGAGCCCGAGGGCCAACTATTGAACTATTGCCTCAACCTCGAAGCTCGCTTATTCGAAGCCAAGAAGTGTGACAAGGGACATGTCTCAAGACGCCTCAGCTAATTCTTCTGATGAAACTCAGAAGGAAAAGTCTTAAATTACAGGGTACAGGACAAACACTAATCTTAGCAAGCTCAAGTGGCAACCCAGAATCTGCGTCCGAGACCACTGAGCCAACGCGCATAAGTAAGTTATCGACTGAAAACACTGATCTTAAGAATTAGTTAGCCGCTCTTATGAAAGGCATGTCTGTTGAACATGTAGATCGAAAGTATGGATCGATGCCATTTCTCTAGGTTAATACAGTTATAAACAAGAGTGATGATAGAACATTCATGGATATCACGTTGATTAGTGGCAACTAGAGGTTGACAAACTTCGTTTTGATCGAAATAATAAAAGTCCAGAGCTAAAGGCGCATGGGATAAAAGCACTAGGGAGAAGGAATCTTTGTTCCTTCAGTATCGTCATGGAGGTGCCGGCAACGTTGAGACTATGCGCGCATGACTTCGCCGTTTTCACGATTGAAGGTGTCAAAGAAAGCAATTTTGATCGTTTTTTGAAAGGAGAACGGAACTGAGTGATATCCTGACAGAGTAGGATTCATCATGTGGACAAAGTGGACTTGAGAAACGGGCTTCGTCTGATTCTGAACATCCGTCAGTTTTTTGTTTTTGTTTTTTGCCAAAATATAATTTTTTTACTTTGGTCTATTTTGTTGAAGATTTCTTGGAGACAGAACTGACGTAAAATATATATACGCATCCAGGAATAACTATATAAGAATTACGGTAGCATCCCGAACCAACTCGGAAATACTGGCTAAGTACTCTTACTTTCACGACGTATGCGTGCTGTAGGTTTACTTCAAAAGTTCCCGTCGCAAGAAAGTGATTTAAAGCGAACAACTCAAACGCGAGTATAAGATTTAAAAATGATAATGAGCTTGATATAATCAATCCCAGTATGTCACGGCCAGGTATGCGAAAATGAAACTTGCCAGGGGCGTGGATGGAGCGACCACGAAGGGTTGTAAGGCCGGTTATTTAAGACGTAATCAGGATCACGGACGAGGGTAACATCATTCGGATCGCAACCGAGAAACTTGTAGTGGCAGTTACTTATAGTTAATCGCGCAGTTGTTATAGTTGTTGCAAGAAAGTTTCCCCCATTGCCTGCGGCGTTAGTCAGATTCAGCATACTCATCTACATAAGTAGAGTTTACTATGTCGTATGGCTTGATGCAAGAAAGTAAAAGATTTCTAGCCCATAAACCGAAAATGGTCGCAAAAGGACTATAATATTTATTACATATAATTTGTAAACTAGATGGTAAAAAATAGTGAGACAACAACAAACGACTTTTAGTGTTCGTTTGTTCCTTCCTGTTAGAGTGCAAAGTAGTAGATTTTAAATAAAGTGGAAATATATGTATTTATTTCTGACCTCACCTTTGGTTTTATACCCGAGATGTTTGTGCTGGTGTTCGGCCGCTTGGGCTGGCCAGGGTAAAAACTCATATGGTCAGTATGGGAAACCTTATACAGAACACTTTAACACTTCGATGCTATTCTATTTCAACTTCTCTACAACTAAATCTCACGCCGATCACATGATGCCTTGCCGCATAGGTTGTGACTCACATAGAGCCGCAGCTATTTTTGGAATGTTGCGGTTGGCAGACTTAATTCACTCTCGGCGATCGGTTGAGAAACTTAATCTGCTCTCGGAAGTCGGTCAAGTATTAACTCAACTCTTGGGATAAATATAAGAACTAAATTAGCTCTCGGGAGTGAGCTAACTCTGATGACTTAGCTCTCTGCCCTAGTTGGGATTTTTACCATGCATATGTATGGGACAAGTAGGCAGGACCCGGGGTGGTCTTAGAACAACCCTGTAGAAGAGAATCGGACAAACTCGAAATAAGTCCAAGCATTTCATCATGACAAATGGCAACCCTACATTGTATCCGTGCCAGTGACACACGTGCGTAGATGGCGTGTTTTATCTAATACTGTATAATTGTATGCATATAAAATATACTTCTCACTATACTCCATCGAAGGTATTGATATTTAAAATCGTATATTGATTCCTGTCAATCGCGGGGCCATCAACGGGGTCTGACACACAGTTACAACTGATCACATGCAAATTTCTGTAGATGTATTTGTCTTTTATATTTCGTCTTCAAGACGTAGCCGCTTTGTGTTGCAGGCGTTTTGTAACACAGGTACTGTCTACAATATAGCATATGCATATACTCAATTATGGTTCGACATAGTTTCCAAAGTACGTGCACACCTCGAGTATTCAGGGGGTGAATTCTATTCTGAGTCCCCCGTTTGTCGACTTTTGTATCATTGCATCGTAAGCTTGGTCATGAGTCCAGTGTAGTATTTATCTATACATAGGTATGAAGTATGTGTACTATAGATTCTTCAAAATGTGATCATATTCTGAAATGTACTGAGCTAAACCTTCGATAAACTCCAAGCCGTATATAATGGCGACTCCAGGAAGCAAAATTCATACATATTTCGTGTACGTAACGATTGATTATATTCAGATACATCGGCACCGTCAACTGTCTTATGATTACATATATATTATACATATGCTGGGTAGGACACTTAAGTGATAATATACTAGTGCAATGTAATACAACTACTCTAGCACTGGGGTATATGACTAGACATATCTGATAAAATTAACAACGCCTAACTACATTGATATATGTATGGTGGTTTATGACATTGTGTGGTTTGGCGAAATATCGTACTGTACAGTTTCGAATCGTACTCTCCGACTTGTTCCGTTCTGAGACCACTTTTAGGGAGTTCAGTTGCACATAAGCGAGATACTTACACACACATATATCACTTTCTACATTATCCCCTCATGAATACAGTGCAAACGTGATCGAATATTTCGTCGTGCATCTATCTATGGCTGTCGAACCGCTGCAAAAACAGCCCATGGCAACCCTGGTGTCGCCAGCCCTTGTCGGTATACATCCACAAGTAGACGCTTGCAATATATTCACACCTACGAATTGCTATAAAAGATACATACTGGCAGGTGGTACAGACACCACTGGTGCTAATAGCCCAATATGTTCTCTGTTTTCATACTGTTGAAGCTTTCTGGTTGCAATCGACAAAAAGATATCATAGGCCGAACGTGGGATAATTCCGACTACTCCAGTGTATTATTAGGGCCAGATTCCAAATAATAATAATAATACACAGATGCAACCTGGTCGAGTCTTGGGTATAAACACCAACCATTAGATCAACGGTGAATGTGGTATGCGGTCTGCGAGAAACCATACCATAAAATAATTTTTAAACCAATTACACTTACGACAGGTGGGATTTATTTCGATTGTGACACCGGTTAAACGCGCAATTGAATCTGCCGCCAAAAAGCTTGAAAGCGGCATCACATATGTTATGAAACAATGAAAGAGCCATAATATTTATCAGAAATATTGTATTTATTCGGTGCATTCAAGAATTTATGATCGGCACAATAATCAGGGAAGTGTGAAGATAACCAACTTCGTTCCCGTTATGATATTTTGCAGCGCAGTTTCGAGGCGATTAACGCCAGCAATGCAATATTGTGATAGTATACTCATAAATGTATCCTGTTATGGACAAGAGTATACTACTATGTAACGACATAGTGAAAATTGTCCTATGCCAATCTACCATCCGGCTCTTTATACGATATGAAACTACGCCTACCAAAAAAGTGCTCTATGCCGTGTCGCAGGATGTATACGCATCTACTGAAGTGGACTAGGGCTTGTATATATTAACGAGGTCCACGACGTGGCACTATAAGAACCACTCCATGTTCGAAGTGGTCTGTGCTGCTTGGTATAGAGAGGAACGATGTTGGGCACACAGGTGGGTGCTTGTTACTATGTAGCGACATGGTGATTTTTTTTTAATCGCCAACCAAAATGTCAAGCCACCACCCGGTTTTTTATACGATTTGAAACTTAACGCATACGAGGAAAAAGCTCTATGTCTATCGCAAGATCCCTACGAATTAATGAGGTGGTCTACGGCTTGCTTATATAAAGAGATCCACGTCGATGATGCTTGATAAAGAGAGGAACGATGGTGGACACACACAGGTGACTGCTTGAGAATGCACAATTCAACGAGCTATTCTACCGATATAGTGCATCGAGGCCAAGCATTACTTTTCAGTTGCACTTCCCGGCATCGACATATCTGCACAGTGGTCTTTCTCACAACAACATAAGTACTCACAGCACAAAAAAATCTTTTCACTTCAGTAGGATTGATACTTATTGCACAGAGGACTTTCGCACCAGTACTGATCACACCACAGGCAGTGGATGAGACCGTGAATAGCAGCAGAGGTCACCTTGTTTGCTCTGGATCTCACTGTTAGCCTTGAGATATTTCTGTGTCAACTATGATCATTTATTGCCCTTTATCGGTTGTATCACCACACCATACTATTGGTGCTCGAAGTTCTCCGAGTTATTGCATTGAACAACCATCATCGGGGAGTACCAATTCACCTTCACTGTGCTAAATTCTCGTACTGTAGCTCGAAACAGCTAATATTATTTCTTCATCTGCATTTACGCCCGCTCAGAGCCGCATGCTTGGGGCCCAGGCAACCTTTCATTCATTCGCCAGTCCCACCTCCGTCACCCCATTCTCACTCACGCCACCCTCGGCAGAGGTTTCGTCCCCCAGCACCTGCTTTGGTTCTTCTTTCGCACCAGTTCTATTGGCAAATCCGTTGGAGGTCTTGTGTGGCAGATACGGTTGCCGGATGGGCCCGAACGTGAGAGCCGCCAGTCCGATTATTTTTCGGGGACGTAACCTAGACCGTGTGATTCTGATACAGTTCGGAAGAGGCGGAAATGAGAAATGAGAAGACAGTGGCTACAGACGACATCTATTCCTCTTTACACACGCACACATACATTCGGGGAAAGTATATCCAATAGAACTGGAAAATAACAACAATTTGAAGGATGCGTGTGAAGAAATGATATATATATATTTATATAAAACTCCCAAGAAAGCAATCGGGACGCAGTTATACATGCACAATCTAATACATAGGTTCATAACGTAGACTAGACCAACTACAAAAAAAATCAGTTGCATTATTGTATTAGCGAGCAAACATCCATAGTATAAATTAACTATACGTAAAGAATCAGCTGCATTCTAGTATTAGCGAGCAAACATCCATAGTATAAATTAACTATACGTAAAGAATCAACTGCATTCTAGTATTAGCGAGCAAACATACATAGTATAAATTAACTATACGTAAAGAATCAGCCGCATTCGAGTATTAGCGAGTGAACATCCATAGAATACATTCAAAGGCGCAAGTTGAACAACATAAGGGAATGAAATAATAATAATAAAAAGAATGAAACGAGACTTGCAACGATTGTAGCTCTTTAAAACATACCGACAACAGTTCAGGGTCTTGGTGATACAATTCTCGGCCAGATTGAATTCCACTTCCTCTCCTTCCACCATGACGCTCCCTTCCAGCACCTCACACAGATAGTAAGGCACATTCTGTACAGACAATAAAGGGAATTCCATTAGGCTCGCCCCAACAAAGTCATACATTTGCCCGTGATAGAGAAGAAACAAAAGAATAAAACAACACAGAATACTGCCAGAATATATACAGCCATGGGATAAGTCACGCCAGCAACTAGAGCGTGGCCAAGTGAGCCTCAGCAGCAGGAAAATTATACTGCATTAACAAAAACGCATACATCTATGGAGCGAGTGTGGCATAAATAGGACACCAACTAACTGGCATCACACCCGATTATATTGGCAGAGGATTGTACAGTATCCAGAACCTATCAAGGATGACAAGGCAAGAGGCAGACGTAGCTGCATGCGGTTACAAAACGATGAACGAGACACTATGCTACGCCCAGGACGACGTTCCCTGCCGATCATTCCTTTTGTATATATAATTTACATCTAAATATATCCACAGTCTATAGAATTGACTTGCAGAGACTCTGCCCACGTACAAACACTCTAGTGTAGATCAATATGCACCAGTCGTACGCTTAACTCGTACACTCGTGGCGACACCGTCCACGTATAAACACTAGTGTAAATCAATATGCACAGCCCTACGCGTGACACACATGTGCATACCTTGCCGTCGTGTTCGATCTCGCCGCCCTGGTCGGTCACCCCCACCACACGTCCCCTTCGTTTGTCGGTGTGTTTCAGATCACTCTGTGCATACAACGCACACACCTCCATGGCCTCCCACTTGGGCTTGCCATCGCCTCTGCCTCGGCTCACACCCCCACGCACACCTCGTCTGAAGCACACACTCTCCCCTACCAACAGCGGCGCCCGTGTGCCTGCACTGGGCAGACCCACTATGCCAAAGGGGCATCTATGCACCTCCATCTGCGGCCCTTCATACGCAACCATACCACCGTACCGCTCAGCAGGGAACGCTACCGCAGCAAACACTCTATGCACTCGCCCAAACAGCGGTTGGTCGTCTTTGTACGAGATGGTCTGCAAATAGGTAGTTAAGGCCATGACAAACGTTAGCTGACAATCGTTGCATGGGTTGACTGCGGTGTATATATATATATATTTATGAACCCACCCACCCACAATGTATATACATACACACCAACATTTATGAACCCACCCACCCACAATGTATATACATACACACCAACATTTATGAACCCACCCACCCACCCCCACAATGTATATACATATACCCCAACCCACATTTATGTATAGTTACAAATACAAAAACGAAACAAATACCAATATAATCAATATACATAGGCAGGACAAAGTAAGACAGTCGCATGAGTCACCGCCTATCAACAGGACGGACAAGATGTACTGGTTGTTGATACCGCCCAGCCTTTTCCTTACGATAGTATGCCCGTTGACAATCCAAAAACTGAATCAGCGACCGTATATGTGATGAGGAATAGAACCTCAATATTCCATAAAACCTCCATTAGTATGGAACTCCACAATACGCGCTTGATACAATGGAACTTATCAATATGTCGATTGGGATATGATACGTAGCGGTAGTCGTATGAAGCATGGCATACAAGCAACACATTGACCACAATATCATCACCCTAATCAAGACACATGGTCACGATATTATCAGCGCCCGCATTCAGGTGCAGCACAATAGATCATCCAAGCACATAGACATGACTTGCTATCAACACAATCATCTACAGATAATGCAAGACATCACACCCTATCAACACAATCATCTACAGATGATGCAAGACATCACACCCTATCAACACAATTAACTACAGATGATGCAAGACATCACACCCTATCAACACAATCATCGACAGATGATGCAAGACATCACACCCTATCAACACAATCATCTACAGATGATGCAAGACATTACACCCTATCGACACAATCATCTATAGATGATGCAAGACATCACACCCTATCGACACAATCATCTATAGATGATGCAAGACATCACATCCATCAACACAATCACCTACAGATATGCAAGACATC